GCTCGGTGTCAAAAAAATGTTACTTGAGCTTCTTTGGTGTGTTTGTCATGCAATAGGCAGCTCATCCAAGTAAATGGGTTGTTGCACCAAAAACATGCAATCCAAAATGCAATGCGCTGCTCAGGTGTGAATGTAGTCTAGGAGCCATCAGAGTGTCTGAAGGAATACGTGAACACAGAAAGGGAAGCTTTGTTCTGGTGTACTTCCTACCGGTCTTTTGGCATTTACCTAATGCTGCCAGAGATATAGCAACTATTGTATGTATTGATCAAAAGCTACCCGTTCTGGTAACAATCAACAATCTAAATGTCTAACTTAAATGCAAGTTTGCTAAAGAGATTAAAAAAAAAGAAAATGCTGTTATATTTGACAGAATACAGGAACACAGAGAGTAAAACAGCCTTTGGTGAACAATCTACAAGTAAATGCTACACAAATTCCTAAATTACGCTACACTGGCTAATGAGTAGTCTACTCATAAATCAGTAAATGGTTAGTTAAAAGATAATATCCAGAAAGGAGACCGGAGATAAAGCCACTGCCTTAAGCCTACTAAACACAAACAAGTGCAGAGACAACCCTCTCCCTCGTCTTTCATAAGTTGTCATAAGACCTTTTACGAGTGTATTATCCACATTTCTATTCCAGCAATGACTGGATGTGACAGCGATGACCTGTGTTTACTGCAGTCATATCCACTTGCTCTTTTGGCTCCTCCACTACTACACCATATGCACGCAGTCATAATCCTATTGTCTGTCACTCCTTATAGTGCTTAAAGTCTATTTGCAGAATGAGTCCGCAGCAGACACAGACAGCACTGGCAACAGATTAGCTATATGATAAAAAAAAAACAACAAAAAATAGCTAATTCTAATTGTCATGAAAAAGAAACAGCATTTTTTTACATAAGTCTGTGTACATGTCATAACACACAGCCAAGTATCTGTGGCAAAAAATTGGAAAAAAAAGAACACCCTATAATAAAATAAAAAATATACTTCCACAAGAATTAAGGAGGGGGCATGATCACTGATGTATGAGCAACACAGGACTTTATCATCACATACTTTTAACTCACAAATATGTTTGTATTAATTAATGCATAGATTTTGAAGAACTGTCACAATCTATTGATTTAGTATGTACAGTCAATACTTTTTTTCAATAAAGTACGGGTTAAAACCTGTCAGTTTATTTTTTGGTGTCTGTCTTGAAAGGAAATTTCCCTTCACTTCCTTTCTGAGGGGAATTTCCCTTTGACAATTTTCACTAAAACAGGGGGTCCCCAGTGGAATACTTATGCTAACCTCTTGTTCTGGGGACAGGTTTAACATTTGTAATTTCCCATGGCCATCTGTCAGTGACAGTGATCACCAGGACAGAGGATGAATCTACCTAAAGAGCACACAGACAACCATAAAACCTTGTCAGGGGGTTGAATTCTTTACTATGCATTTATTTAAATGATTCATCTTATGCACCTTGCTTTATTAACCAATATGGGATCTACTAATGCAAAAGCAATTCCACAGGAACAGAAGTGTTCAGTCTTATTGATTCTTTTGCTAAAGAATTGTCTCCAGCGACAGATCTGCTAGTGTGGTATGAGCTTAAAGTGTCCCCAGTGGAAGATTTATCCTAATCTATTGTTCTGGTTACAACTCTAAAATGTCAGTAAGTATCTGAAACAATAAAAAAAAAATGTAATCTTCTGCAGCATCCCAGTGCTTAGATATGGAGGCTGCATTCTAGTCCCCCTTTTTTCCTTTATATTCACCAGGTGATCCTGCTACTCCAGTGCTCACTCACTATATAGAGGCAGGGATGTAAACTTAAAGAAATAGAGGAAGCCTCCCCCCTCTTCAACTTAAAGCGGAGTTCCAGACATTTTTGTGTTTATTAATAGTCAGCAGCTACAAAAACTGTAGCTGCTGACTTTTAATAAACACACATCTGTCCCAGAGTCCAGCGATGTTCTCACCCGCACCGTCCCTTCTCCGTTTCTCTCCACAGCACTGGCATCTCTACTGTGGGCACAAGGCTGTGACAGCTTGTGGCCTCACAGCCTGGTGCCCACTGCGCATGCACAAGTCGTGCTGCGCCTCCTTATTGGTACAGCAGTCTTCTGGGACCTGTGAAAGTTCCCAAGAGACTTCGAGAGGGAGGAGGGGGCTAAACTTCGGGCTCACTTCACCACAGTGAACTGAGCCGAAAGTGGGAGCGGGTAAACAGGTATCCACTCCCCTCCCAATAGGGGGGAGGAGGCAAATATGCGGAGCTTCCGCTTTTGAGTGGAACTCCACTTTAAGGAGGAAATTGGGGTTGTGTAGTTTCTGAACTGGGCATAGCTGAAAACACTGCTTAAAGTGTTTGCAAAGGTTCAGATTTTTATTTTTTTTTAATAACAAATATGTCATACGTACCTGCTCTGTGCAATGGTTTTGCACAGAGCAGCCCCAAGCCTCCTCTTCTTGGGTCCCAAGCCGGTTATCCTGGCTCCTCCCTCCTGCTGAGTGTCCCCAGAGCAAGCTGCTTGCTCTGAGGGCACTCGTGCATGCTCGCTCCCGAGCCACCTCTGTGTTGCAATAAGACAAACAAAGCATGGCTCAGCCCCGCTTCTGGCTCCCTCCTCACTGGCTGTGATTGCATCAGCCAATGAGAAGGGAGAGACCCCGGAGAACTTCTGCTTTTGTGCACAACATTGCTGGATCAGGATTGTACTCATGTGACTATAGAGGGGGAGCTGCACACTGAAGGTTTTTTACCTTTATGGATAGAATGCAAGGTAAAAAAAAACTTCAGCCTTTACAGTCACTTTGAAAAAAAAAAAAAACACTGAAGAGTTCACAGATTTGTACAAGGTCACTGGACTTCTGTCAGGATTAACAAGTATTTTCTTTTTGCACACATATAACAAAACACTTTTAATGGTATACTAAACAGACCAAAAAAGAGAACCTATGACAAGTAAATTGCTGGGGGTTTACATACACTTTTACATTGGTTCTAAAGGCAGAAGGGTTTTTTACCTTAATATATTATAGGCAGATATAAAAGATACACATTAAAGGCCAAGTTTACCTTTGGAACCTGTTACATGTTCTAGCTCCTGCCTCCTCTCCCATGCCCGCTGTCAGAATTTAAAAATAGCAGGGACGTGCATGCTCCGCCCACATGGCCACGTCATTCATTCACAGAGTTCAGTGAATGAACTACAACTATCATCAGCTTGTAGTGGTCAATAAACTGTGAGGGTGCTGGTGAGCGCTCTTGTAGTTCACCGATTCTTCACGAAATTCAGCAAATGCCTGCCCATACAGGCAGGACTGCCATACTGAGAGTCTGCAGGAGCCTGGCATTGCACCCACTATCTGCTGATGGTGAGTTCAATACCTTACAGGCTGCAAAGTGAAAAGAAAAATAACCTTTTTAACATTAGAAATGTGGCTCCTCTTATGCACTCAGTATGACACTACACACATCCAGCAAAAGCAGCCACATGCTGAAGCATCATTTCATACACCTGTCAAAAAGCCAGTGATGCCTAAAGTAAGCCCCTGTGCAGTGAACTTTGGCCCTGGGGATCAATAACATTAGATGTTCCTGGTGGAATGCTGAGCCAAAGCAAACACTGAGATGTCAAGTGCAGGCTGCTATAGACACATTGCACATGTACCAACAATGCTTCTAGAATACCCAATGGTAACAACATGTTAGGAATGAATATTTACACAGCAATTGCCCTGCCTTAAAGAGACCCTGTCTCCAGAAAAATTGCTGCAACAATAACTTTCCTATAAGATTAATGGTGGCTTTGCCTTACGTTATGCATGCTATGTACCTGTAAAAACCTCCCTTTGGTAGAAATCCAAAAGTCCTGAATCTGCTGCTGGAAGTGGCCATTTTGGATGTGATGTCAGCAGCCCCAGGAGACTCAGAGCTGTCACTCAATGACACTCTATAGCAGGGCTCAACAAATCCCGGGTGCCAGGTTGCCATGGCAACTAGAGAATGTGGCCTGGCGCCCGGGCTGTTGTCAGCCCCAGTGGTGTAGCATAGGGCAGCGCAGCCAGGTGCAACATTGCCAGGCAGCCTGCAGTTGTCACTATGTCACGTGTGTGAGGCCGGGGGGGGGTAGGGAGGAGTGGCGCTGTGAGGGCGTATTCAAGGAGGGAGGGGCCAGAATGTGAAGGGTGGGTTAGGGGGAGATGTGGGGCTGTAGAGTAGTAGGAAGGGCGGGTCAGATAGGAGCGGAGCTGGCAGGAAGTGTTCCCTATGCCGCTCTCATTGATACCTGCCACCCCGGGGAGACTCTGCCTTACCTCAGAGCAGAAACCAGCGGCAATGATCGAGCTCAGCACTCCTGTTCCCACCCAGGATGGGCTCAGACTACAACTCAGAGGGGGGTCTGGGCAGTCCAGGAGCCCGCTACCCGCGTGGCTGCCTCGTCAGGGCCGCCGTCAGCGCAGCCTCCCCTATGCCGCCTCACCGGTGAAAAAAAAAATACTTATTTGAAGAAAAAGGTTTTTTTAAAAAAAGAAAACATTTTGGTCTTTTCTTCATGTATTTAGTAACAAATAAAAAAATAAAGTGGTGATTAAATATGACTAAGAAAAAGCGGTCTCAAAAAAAAAAAAAAAAGTAAAAATTTAATCTGGGTACGGTGTTGCATAACCACGCAATTGTCCTTTAACTACTTGCCTACTGGGCACTTATAGCCCGTTCCTGCCCAGGCCAATTTTCAGCGCTGTCCCAATTCGAATGACAATTGCGCAGTCATGCAACACTGTACCCATACTAAATTTTTATAATTTTTTTTCACACAAATAGAGCTTTCTTTTGGTGGTATTTAATCGCTGCTGGGTGTTTTATTTTTTGCACTATAAACAAAAAAAAAAGGAGCATAAAATTTGAAAAAAAAATTTTCTTCTTTTTTCTATTATGATATTTTGCAAACAGATAATTTTTCTCCTTCACTGATATGCGTTGATGAGCCTGCACTGATAGGCAGCACTGATGGGCACTGATAAGCAGCACTGATGGGTGGCACTGACTGCTAGCACTGATGGACACAGGTGGGTGGCACAACTAGGCACTGAAGAGTGGAAGTGCTGGGCACAGGTTGGCAGCACTGGTGAGTGGCACTGCTGGGCACTGATCATCAATTCAATGGCAATCATTTCAATGGCACCTAAAACGCAGTGCAGTTCTACCATGATAAATTGAGTTGCAGTCGCAGCAAACCAAATGACACGAAGCTTGCTGACCAAAAAGGAGCAGGAGCTTCTTTTGGGGCGACAAGCTTCACGTGACGATTGCAGCAGAATCAGACCGCAATTTAGGTGCCATTGAAAACGAATGGCACTTGAACATGCGTGGTGTGATTTGTCATTTTGACCAGTGTTTTGGGACACGGGCATTAACTCAAAGATTCCGCATGCAATACAAAACGTCCATATGTGAACGGGGCCAGAAGACTACATAAAACCCCCAAAAACATTATATATTTTCTGCAAGCAGACAGCCTAGAGAACAAAACAGTGGTAGCTCCAATTTTTTATGTCACATGATATTACCAAAAAGGTCTAGGAAACTCAAAATTTCAGTAAAAAAAAATGCACTAAAGTATTTTTCTGCATTACATTCTTTCCCACCCATACTGGCCGGGGAAAATGACCTGGGACCCGCAAGTGACATTTTTCACATCACTTCCAGATCAGCAACAAGAAAAGGATGAGAGCGGACATGTGTCCTCTCAGCTTCCTCCCCCCTACCTGACGGCACCCGCTATGTCAGTCTTGGACCTGCAGATGGGCAAGTGGAGTCCAGGATCCATGACGGGGGCGCCTGTTACTGGGGGGTGTGACTGCTTTCATCTGACAGCCAGAAGTCAGCTTGTCAGATACACACAGTGGCGGCAGCCATCGGGAGCGTGTGTAAAACTCTCCGCTGTCAAGGCCATACAACGTACAGACCTGGCAGCAAAGGGGTTCCTTTACCTTCACCAAAATTCAGCTATGGGGTGTCTACATATAAAATCAAACTGTGCAGGTCTGACCAAGTCTGGAAGAAGGGCTGGGGGGGGCAAAAGAAATATGGGGGGGCGTGGAAGAAATATGGAGGGGGGAGGAGGAACGTGGAAGAAATATGGGGGGGGCAACAAGGAAGAAATATGGAGGAGGCAACGTGGAAGAAATATGGGGGGGGGGGCAACGTGCAAGAAAATATGAAGAGGGGGGGGGCAACGTGCAAGAAATATGGAGGGGGGGGCAGACGTGGAAGAAATATGGAGGGGGGGGCAGGGGCAAGAAATATGGAGGGGGGGGGGCAGAAGAAATATGGAGGGGGGGGGCAGACGTGGAAGAAATATGGAGGGGGGGGGCAGACGTGGAAGAAATATGGAGGGGGGGGCAGACGTGGAAGAAATATGGAGGGGGGGGGGGGGCAGACGTGGAAGAAATATGGAGGGGGGGGCAGACGTGGAAGAAAATATGGAGGGGGGGGCAGACGTGGAAGAAATATGGAGGGGGGGCAGACGTGGAAGAAATATGGAGGGGGGGGGGGGGAAATATGGAGGGGGGGGGCAGACGTGGAAGAAATATGGAGGGGGGGGCAGCAGACGTGGAAGAAATATGGAGGGGGGGGGCAGACGTGGAAGAAATATGGAGGGGGGGGACGTGGAAGAAATATGGAGGGGGGGGCAGACGTTGAAGAAATATGGGGGGGCAGACGTTGAAGAAATATGGGGGGGGGGGCAGACGTTGAAGAAATATGGAGGGGGGGAGACGTTGAAGAAATATGGGGGGGAGACGTTGAAGAAATATGGGGGGGGGGAGACGTTGAAGAAATATGGGGGGGGGGAGACGTTGAAGAAATATGGAGGGGGGGGAGACGTTGAAGAAATATGGAAGGGGGGGGAGACGTTGAAGAAATATGGGGGGGGGGGGGGAACGTTGAAGAAATATGGGGGGGGGAGACGTTGAAGAAATATGGGGGGGGGGAACGTTGAAGAAATATGGAAGGGGGGGACGTTGAAGAAATATGGGAGGGGGGGGGGGGGGTTGGAAATATGGAAGGGGGGACGTTGAAGAAATATGGGGGGGGGCGTTGAAGAAATATGGGGGGGGGACGTTGAAGAAATATGGAAGGGGGGGACGTTGAAGAAATATGGGGGGGGGGGGGGGGACGTTGAAGAAATATGGGGGGGGGGACGTTGAAGAAATATGGGGGGGGGCCACGTTGAAGAAATATGGGGGGGGGGCCACGTTGAAGAATGGAGGTGGGGGGGAAATATGGGGGGGCCGTTGAAGAAAATATGGAGGGGGGGCGTTGAAGAAATATGGAGGGGGGGCGTTGAAGAAATATGGAGGGGGGGCGTTGAAGAAATATGGAGGGGGGGCGTTGAAGAAATATGGAGGGGGGGCGTTGAAGAAATATGGAGGGGGGGCGTTGAAGAAATATGGAGGGGGGGCGTTGAAGAAATATGGAGGGGGGGCGTTGAAGAAATATGGAGGGGGGGGCGTTGAAGAAATATGGAGGGGGGGGGCGTTGAAGAAATATGGAGGGGTGGGGCGTTGAAGAAATATGGAGGGGGGGGGCGTTGAAGAAATATGGAGGGGGGGGCGTTGAAGAAATATGGAGGGGGGGGCGTTGAAGAAATATGGAGGGGGGGGCGTTGAAGAAATATGGAGGGGGGGGGCGTTGAAGAAATATGGAGGGGGGGGGGCGTTGAAGAAATATGGAGGGGGGGGCGTTGAAGAAATGTGGACTCGGAAGAAATATGGAAGGACTTGGAACCATAAATGGATGTAACAAGACAGAGTAAGGGAAGAGCTGATGACATAGGCGAACTTGTGCTAGTAATGGTGGGGGTCACACAGACAGGAAGTGCCCTGATTTCACTGCTCGGTGTCCCGGTATGATGTGACATGTGTATAAAGTGCAGAAAAAAGTTGTAGTCCGTCCTCCTCCCCGGCCCTCCACCTCTCGCCATCCCCGGGTCCCCTTCCTCCTCCTCATACACATCACAAACACATATTCCAAAGTTGCTGGAAGCAGCAGCTGAGATTGAGGCCTACACCGCTCCCCGGGCTTTCCTGGCACAGTGGCCCGGAACGATGGAGACAGAGGAGGGACTACACAGCTCGCTACCTACCAACTGCTGCCAGACCCAGCGAACCAGGAAACAGTCCCTCCAGGAATCCATCGCCGGCTGGCGGCTCAGTGTCCCCGCTCTCTCATGGCCCCGCCGGGCAGGAGGTGGTTGAGTTTGGCGGTGACTCTCGCGCTGCGAGTCCGGCCCCAGCCGTCAGTCCCCTCCGAGATGCGCGTTCCCGCCAGCAGCATAGGGCAGCGGGGGCGCGCACTGGAAAGAGACACACACACACAAACTAGCCTCGCCTGGACCACGCCCAGCGGCTTCTACGTCATCAGGATGGGTGACGTCCTGCAGAATGGAGTGTAGTGTGGCCGGCAGGTGGAAGATCCGGAGTAGCAGTGCCTGGTGTGAGGAACCGAGAGTCCCTCTTCTCAGTTACTAGAGTCCTTCCAGCGATGTTCTGTACTTGGCGTCATTCGCACCATCGTCCTGCGATCGATCTATGAGAGCACTTCGCCTGTCACACCTGTTCACCCCTTGCAGACCACACAACAGTGATATTGACGTTTCTGCTATGGACCTGTTTATTTTAATAGGTCTCTTGCACACTGAACTGATGTATGAGCACAGGGGCGGACTGACAACTCATGGGGCCCCCAGGCAATAGGGGATCATGGGGCCCCTGTGTCCTTGCCCAAACTCAAAAAAGCCTATGAAAAAGGAACCAGGGGCATCTCATGGGGCCCCCTACTGACCCCGGGCCCTCGGACAGTGCCCAAGTTTCCAAATGGTCAGTCCGCTCCTGTATGAGCATCACTATTCCTGGCAGAGAAAACCGGGGACGGCGGGCTGTATGTCACTTGTGCGTATTTGTGCGTATGCACACACATGCAGGAAGTGTGCCATTTACACCCGATTCCTGCATGTTTGCAACTGCTGAGTATTTGCAAGTATAGCTGCAACAATACTGACCTGCAATGTAGATTTTTGTATGCGGCGTTTGTTTAAACGCTTGTGTGTACAGGCACATTATTATACAGTATTTATATAGTGCTAAAAGATTTGCTCAGCTCTGTACATTATAGTGGGGGACAGAACATGAGACAATACAGTAACAAAACACGAGGGGGTCAAGGGCCATGCTCTTTCGAGCTACAATCATTGGGCTGCCTTTAATGCCCTGTACACACGATAAGAAAATGATACGAAAAATTTTGCAGAAACACTGATGGAACGATTTTCTCTTCGTTGATGAGCAGGATGTTTTAACCCATAACGATATTGTGAAAGAAAAAATCCGGTTGAACAACTGTGAAAAATGTCGTTTCACATACGAACGACCGATTTTCAATTCGGTGGTATGACAGTCGTATGAAATAATCTATCAAGCGCATCACGCATGAGCGGAAACAGAAGATGACCCGGATGTTTATGTCCAAGGAATCTTCATAAACACGAACGAAAAATCCAAATGTTAAAAGTAGATTGTCCTAATGAGATAATGAAACCAGAATTGTGTATATTATATTTTATGTATCACTATTTATGTATATAGGTAATGTAATAAACTATAATATACTCATTGCTGTTAATTGTGTATTTCGCTCATTCTGGCCGGAAGGGCGTGGCTACAAGGTCACACACACACTGCATCACTTCCACTTGTACGGAAGACGTCAACACTACGTATTGCCCAACAACGACTTTTTTTAGATTGGTTAATGTGGGTCACAATTTCGACCAACGAACGAACGTCCCTCTGTCCTCGGATGACTGATCGATTTTCTAATCGTGTGTATTCCCACTTTTAGATTAAAAAAAAAAACTGTACTGTGTGTTTTCAAGCTGCAGTGTGCAAGAGACCTAACTTTGTGGTTCCTTAACCACTTGAGCTTCAGAAGGTTTTATCCCCTTCATGACCAGGGCATTTTCTTTGCTATTCAGCACTGTGCTACTTTAACTGGCAATGGCACAGTCATAAAACACTGTACCCAGAAAAAAATGTAGAACTTTCTTTTGTGATCACCACTGGGATTTTTTTCTTTTTTATTATTTGAAGGAAAAAATAGAAAATTTTGGAAAAAACATAATTTCTATTTTCTGTTATAAAAGGTCTTCATAAATTCAGGCCAAAATGTATTCTGCTACATGTCTTTGGTAAAAAAAAAAAAAACAATCCCAATAAGTGTATATTATGTGTCCATGCACACTGGGCTTTAAAAAAAATTTTATTTCCTTGGCAGAAAAAAAAAACTCATATAGAGCGATTTGCACAGGCATTTAGGAGTGTTTAGCATTTTTTTTTCTGCTAAAATATTTTTTCAGAAATGCAAACCAGAAGGGTTTTTTTCTGCCTTTAAATGCTGAACTTAACGTGTCACTAAACCCACAACAATAAAATCAGTCTGTATATGCAGTAAAGCATGGTTGTTAGTCCTCATGCAAACTGGATGTTTTTACAGCGGCTGTTTTTGGCTTTTGGCAGTATTTTCTACAGCCAGTAAACTCCCCAGCATGTTATCCTATGTGTCCATGCACACAGACTGTAATCAGCATTTTTTGGCTGGAAAAAGAAAACAGCTAGTGGGTTTGTAGAGGAGTTTTTTAGCTGGAAAAATGCTCTAATGCTGAAAAAAAAAAACGCGGTAAAATGCGGCAAACGGTGTTTTTGGAGGGGTTTTTTTTAACAAAAAAAAATGCAAATGCTAAGAAATGCAACAAAACACAGCAAACTGCTAATGCAAAAAACACTAAAAAACGCTGAAAAACTCACATTTTTAACTTGACTTTACACAGCTAACGTTACCAGCGTTATTAAAATGCCCAGTGTGCATGGAGCCATATACTCACTGTGGAACCTAAGAGGTTAATCCTTTGCATTGTGTAAAATAGATGTTTCATCCTGTCTTTCTAAACCGCCCCTTCTTTTACTGACCCCAGTCCATTTGCTGATAGAATAGAGCCATGGGTGCAACCTGCACATGCTCAGTTTGGACTGTATTGCTATAGAGTTTTGTTTTTTTTCCATAGGAGTGTGATCAGCACAGGGCCAATCAGCACTATCCAGAGTGTCAGGGATCCTACAGCCTCATAGGACAGTCAGAGGAGAATGAAAATTCCTCCTATACGCTTTAACCAGCCCTATGCTGGAAACTGATAGAAGTCACAAGACTGCTCTAACTGATGATGAGAAATGACACTGGCTAATGGCACTGGCTGGAAAGAAGCTATCCCCAAAAGGCAATCGGGGTCTTAACTGTGCCTAACAAGTGTAATGTGTACTGCCTTTACTCACAGATCTGGCTGCTTTTCCTCCCTGACCTCAGAATTGATTTCAGGGATAAGAAACATCCACATTGCTGTCTGTGTAGAGTTCTGTGCTTTTGTAAACACAGAACTCTGTGTTGTGATTGGCCACAACTGATCAGCAGGTATAGAAACAAAATCATTGGCTGAAACCTGTTGACAAACTGTGTGACATGTTGTGCACACCTGAAAACCAGGAAGTTCCCTGCAACGTACGAGTACACCGCAGTGCCTGGCTGTTTCGCCTCTTAGCAGTAAATGTACTGTTAGCAGACAGCAAGTGTTTTCAGCTTTCAGCACTGGTAGCGATCAAAATGCTGGTATGGTGTATAGTGGTGATCAGGACATTAGCATGAGGTATGGCAGTGATCAGGATGCTGGGTATGGGAGTGATCAGGATGTTGGTATGGGGTATGATGGTGATCAGAACACTGGTATGGGGTATGGTGGTGATCAGGAATCTGGTATGGGGTATGGTGGTGATCAGGACACTGGTATGGCATATGGGGGTGATCATAATGTTGGTATGGGCATGGCGGTGATCAAAATGCTGGTACGGGGCATGGCGGTGATCACAATGCTGGTACGGGGCATGGCGGTGATCACAATACTGCTATGGCGGTGATCATGGCACTGTTATGGTATATGGCAGTAATTGGGGCACTGATATGGTGTATGGAGGTGATCAGGACACTAGTAAGGCCATAGCGGTGATGAGGGTGCTGGTATGTTACGTGGCGGTGATCAGTTTTTGTGCACACTGGGACAGGTGACAGGGGTTGGCTGCATGTTTTATTATGTATATACTGGGGCAGTGATTAGGGACACAGGGGCACTGATCAGGGACACTGGAGTGGCTGGAACAGCAGTTTGTGAGTGCACAAGTGGTCTGACAGATTCACTTCTCTCTGCTCTCACACTGAGTGCAGAGAGAAGCAATCTTTGCTTTCACTTTCCATTGTTTACTATGTGAGTGCTGTGATTGGTCAAAGCAGTAACATGGTAAAACACCATGTGATTGCGGTAATGTGATCTGCTCTGTCCGGTGACACACCAATCGCCGGGCAACGGGGTGCATGCTCTGTGAGCCGTCCAAGAGCCAGTAATGCGGGCTGATGTACAGGTAGGTTGGCCCACATCAGCAAAGCTTCCCGTCCTCCGTCTATGTGCAATGGGCAGAGTGGAAGAGGTTGAGGTAAGGCCAGTCTTTCTTTTCATGATATTGTCCTGCAAACTTTTTTTTTTTCTCCTTAGACAATAAAAGGAAACAAACTAAACTCATAAATAGTTTTACTGTAGATAAAATGTGCACATTTTTTTCTGTAATTTGTCTTGTTTAAAATGACACTAAAATTATGATTCTAGTACAAAGCAAGTTATTTATAAATAAAATAAAGGTTTTTTTTTTTTTTTTTAATTTTGCACTTTTTTTAAATGGGAAATGTATAAATATGTTAAATGTATAAAAAATATTAATAATCAAAACAAAAACAAAAAAGTTTAAATATTAAAAGTAAACAAAAAAAATCAGCAGGAAAATAACAGTTGAAGAGAGAAGGAGACTAAGGAGTGAATTAGGGCTGATTAGAGTAAACAAAGGGTTAAAAAGAGGTTAAACAAAGGAACATTTTATTTACAAAAAAAATAAATGTTTTCTAACTGGTCAGGTTGCTTTAATACGGTAGGCGTCATCTGCAGTTCTATGTTCATCCCTTTTGATCTACAGATGAATGAACAGGTAGATACAAAAGCATGGTTATGTTACATTGTATCTTTCTATATTCATATCTGAATCAGTGTTTATAAAGTAGTGAAAGATTCTCTTACATGCTGTCTGCAAGATGACGGGAAAGAGACCAAAGAGTGTTTATGGTGATGCTGAATCAGATGATGCAGATGGTATCCTTGGGACTGAAACTGAAATCTGTGAGTCAGGATTACATAACAATTTGAGGACGCCATTTAATCCAAAGTGGCCCCTGAAAAAAAGTGAAAAACTTGGATGCAAGTGTTTGTGAGTGCCAACAAAAGAAACCAAAAAGCCACAAGCAGTAGTAAAAGGTCTACTTTATTTTATGGGATTTAAATGTTAGTGTGCCCATTCACACTTGCATGATTTGAAGCTTCACCAAAAGCGCTTCAACATTTAACACCAGAATTTCCATTAAATTCTTTGGTGTCCTTTTACACCTGAGCGTAGTGTCGCATGCTTAGAAAAGTACTTAACCTTCTTTTGGGTCAAATTTACGCTTTTTTGCCCCAATAGATGATTAATGCACATTTTCTTGCCTAGTAAATACCTTTCCATTGCCTAAAAAAGGCCCGAGGACTACAAAAAAAAAAAAAAAAAATCTAGAGACACTCCACTCAAATGTGTATAGGGCATCAGAGCTGATATTTATATAAAAACACTTGTTTTAATGGAGTATACCACACTAGAGGAATGTCTATAAGGGCCCATTCACATCAGCCCTTCTTGGCTGTGTGGGCAGCATTGAC